CATATTTATATGTGAAAGTCCTTCACAGTCTAACATATTTATATGTGAAAGTCCTTTACAGTCAAGCATATTTATATGTGAAAGCTTCGCTGACAAGCATATTTATATGTGAAAGTCCTTCATAGTCTAACATATTTATATGTGAAAGTCCTTCACAGTCTAACATATTTATATGTGAATGTCCTTTACAGTCTAACATATTTATATGTGAAAGACCTTCACAGTCAAGCATATTTATATGTGAAAGTCCTTTACAGTCTAATATACTATAGCTAGTATGTAGAAATTCATAATATTTGAAATCCGAAATCTACGTATTTTAAAAATATTCCGAAACAACATATGCTTTGTATTCATTTTCATTTGAAGAATACTTTTCTCAGTTGCTGTTAAATTTTTAACGACGTTCTTGGACTTTCTTACCTGCAAAGCAGTTCGTTATTAAAAATCTACTTAGGTTTGCTTCTAAGCATTTAAATTATGTACCATAGTTCATTTTGATTTAGCTGGTTTCTTCAACTTCAACAAGAGATGTTTCTCTCTTTGTCCACATGTTCCACGAGCTCGAGTACATACGACGACGTATACCACATAAGTAATTTTACGCTGAATTCTTCCGTGAATAACTCCAAATTTGTCAAATTTCCCTAATAATCCTTTAGCTCGTTAATTCTCCTTTGGGCTTTACTACTTTCTGCTGTATTTTTTGTCATAATTCTGCTTTCAAAAGAGTTTCTTTCTTGAAACGAACAAGCATCCGTTAACGTACTGTAACACTATCTTGTGATTTGAATATTCCTTGCAAACAATGACAGGAAGTGACCTTTGGACTTTTAATCCAATTATAAGTATCTAAACTGAAGTTCCAAACCTAATGTTCCTAGCTCAATAAACAACCGTCAAGCGATTGCATTTCTGGTTCGAAAAATTTGTGCTTTGTTTGCGCCCGGCATACAGTATCATATTCAAGGTTGTTTTCATGGTACTGATATTTTTCGTCACACTGCCGGTCACATAACTGAAATGACTTATTTAATGGCCGCGGCAGTCGGAAATTTTTTATAAAAATCAAGAACCATAATTGATTGGTGTTGATTGGTGCCAGTCATCCGTTTCTAATATTATCCACATCAAAATAAGATTGAAAAAGCAGGGGAATCCCRTGACCCACCATCAGCCCCGTTATAGATTTTTTTTGACTTTTTTCATCCAACGAAAATTCCAACGAAATCAAACTTTTGATCGAGAGGACAGACCCCGCATAGAAATGACGTTTCGATTTGCTAAACTTTTTGTTGCGCTTGCCCCGACARCAATTCGCGACAACAGCGCGAGCTAAAATAGATCAAGGCTGCACGCCGCCAAAATTGCATCACTAGGGGCTGCTGATGGGTAAAAGAAATTCGAGCACGACTTTAAATAAAGAAAAAAAAACCGTGCATAGGAAAAATGCCCAAAAAAATATTCATGCAAGTTCCAAAAA